CAGTTCCAGCCTTATGTTGTTCTAACACAATTATTCATCTAAATAATTTCACAAATACCATTTCTTCCGTTTCCCCTACTGTGTGACATGCAAACAACGAGCGAAAATTTGCATGATATTAACAAAAACAGAAAGCTTTTAAGCTTTGAATGCCTTGTACATTAGTTTGCGCGGAATCTCTACTCAAGCTCACAATGTCATCTTCGATTGTCCTCATCTCCGGGACCATTTCCTCCTGTAGGAAATCATCCATCCAAGCTTTTGCTTTTACCTATCTTGAAGTAAAACCTATGCTGGTATGACTATTGAGGTGGGGAGCCCTAGAAGTTAGAAGCAGAGTCCAATTAGCTGCTGAAAACAATTCTTGATGCCATTTGACATGTTTTTCGTCTACGCATTCATGATCTAGGTATTGTTGACCACTTTGATCTTCTAGTTTTACAATTCGACGCTCCGACTTTGTCGATGGGTTGCAGTTTGATAGTTGCGAAGGTTCATTCCAATTAACATATATTCAAATGCCTTATACTTTTTTTGTCGATTCCTTTAAGTATTCTTTCTCAAAGCACTGACGTATAGTCTCATAGCTCTTTTCAAATTGTTGTGTTCTTTTCTTTAATTTGCTCGGCGAGTCAGGTTCTTTATCTACGTTAATTTTAAAATGGGTTCTGCTGAACCGATAATATTCTAGTGATCTTCGGCTGAAACACTCAAAATCTTATTAATGAGGATTTTGTAGCGTCTCAATTGTCTTCCGCAAGCTGTACTTCATAGGCTTTTTAAATTTGTCATGGTCGTATTGCGTGAGTGCATCGAAGAATAGACTTCATGATTAGTAGAGTAAAGGCGTGTCCTTCATAGTTGACATTGTTGCAAATAGGCTCGTTCCTTCCGTGAAATGAAGAGGGACAGACAATCGTATAGAGGATAGGAGGAAAGAGCTTCCATTGATTGCACGTCGCACTCCTCAATTATTTCTTGGTAATTTTGAGAAGTGTCGATGTGGATGTTTAGCTTTCTTCATTTTGAAGTTCGTTGAAGTGCTTGTAGGCGGCAAAAAGTAATGTTGAATCCTGAAGAATGTCTACGTCTTCTTTGTAAGAAATCTCGTAAATGTGTCTTTTCTCATCCCGATTTTCCTGTAGTCATCCATTGATTTTCGATACTTCATCAAGATCGTTCTCGGGTTTTGAGTCCAAGAACAAGCTCTCAAAAATGTTTGATGTCTTGTTTATAGACATCTTGTGACGATAATGTGCTGTTACCATGAGCTTCCGTAGATACCAGCATTGCAGCTATAGGTATAGTGAAACTGGACGAGACAATGTGATCGGAAGAGGTTGGAAGAAGACAAAGGCCTGAACTGTTAGCACTGCAGTGTGTTTGATAGTACTGAAGAAACCTGATTAATGAGAATATCGGATGATACGCTCGTTCTTGTGTTTGCTGAGCAATAATTACATTTCCGCTTGTTATGAATTGTTATGTTCGTGAGGTGTGCTATTTCTAGGTCAGCAGTAAGCTATTGCTTTGTGTGTAAGACATCTCCTTAACGACTAACGAACACCTCCGAGTGTAGTTCGTACTGTTTCTAAGCTGAAGATTTCAATTGCTCATTTCTGATATGGTGAATGATGTTGTTAGGACGACTAAAAGTTCAAAATTTTTGCCAAGTTCCGATATGATGGAACTGCTTTGGGCTTCTGAGTCAACTATAGTTCAACGTTGACAATTACGGTCGACGCTTACTGCCTGTTTGGAGGGCTGGGATGGGTTTTACTGCATTTGGGAGCATGCCGCTTTGGTGAGGAACATTCGCA